GGAGTACAATTTTAATTCATAGGTAAGATGGGTATTTGGTAGAAGCTATACGCGTCACAGTTATGGCTTTGAAACTGACCTGCAACACCTTTTAATCTTTTATAATGTTCTGCAGAATCTGGAAAAAAGAATGCAAACGAAGATGGTCCTGAAAATAACCCTCAGTTTACTACTGTTTATGTTGGCAATCTTCCTCACGAGGTAATACTATTCCAATAGAACAGCTGCTGTCTATGTTTACTGTGCATCTTGTGTTTGGCTTTCTATTTGCTGTTACCATTTTTTCGTTAACTTTTTTTATTGTCTTATCAACGTTCTTCCATGTTTTCTTGATTTCCAGGCTACCAACAATGATGTGCACCTGTTTTTCCATTCACTCGGGGCTGGCTCAATTGAGGAGGTCCGTGTAACTCGTGATAAAGGCTTTGGCTTTGTGAGGTACAGCACCCATGAGGAGGCTGCACTGGCAATTCAGATGGGTAATGGCCAACTTATTGGCGGGAGGCAGATAAAGGTATCTTTGGTTCTTGTTTTCACATTTCCTTGATAACGGGATTTAGTAAAATCCTGAATGTTCCTAGGTCAATTTTTACAATAGAATAATATTGTTGGTGGATAACAGTAGTATTACTAGGCCTGCTTATGGGTCAACACCCACCCTTTTCCAACCCACCACCACCCCACAGCAACAGACTCAACCTTCCCAACCCATTCCAAGCCACTCCAAACCCCCTAGCACCCAACCCAACCCACTGAAAGGATTCACCCAACCCGAGTAGATCCAACCCAAACCCACCTACGGCCTTGTTTGGATGCCCATGTATCTACCTCAATCCGTGTGTGATGGAAACCACTCCCAACCCACATGGATTGAGGTCGATACACGGGCAGCCAAACAAGCCCTACATTGACAGAAATTCGCTAGCGAGAAAGCGGCAATGGGGAGCCGTGTGGCGCCATGGAGGAGAGGGACAGAGGAGGATCTGGGGCGGGTCGATGCGCAGTTGTAGTTCCGCACGAAGCAGCGGTGGTCGGGGCGCCGCCGCGAGCGCTAACTCCGGTGCTTCTGCTTCCACCGGTCCAGCAAGAACGGAGCTGTAGATCCTGCCCACCATGAGTGCCACCTTCAGATCTTGCACCTGGACATCAAGCCAACCAGACCACTGTCTACAATGGGCGTCTACAAGCTCAGGACAGTCTAGGAGTCCAACGTCTGCAAGGTCCCGCTGTACTGGTCGAGGCTGGTTACTGCGGCAGCATCCTCAGTGGCCGTGGCCTCCGCGGTATTCCTGCTGGAGGGCAACGATGCCATCAGGCAGGGCATCGATCTCCTGTACGCTGCCAGCACTGTGGGTATGGTGCTGTCAACATGTCACTGCTCCTCATCCACATCTACGCCACGCCAACCCCAATCAAGCGCTTCCTCTAGGCTTCGCTGTGGCTGTTGGGCTGCTTGGCTTTCTTGTGACCTACCTCGTCGCTGCCCAGCCGCTGGACGAGGGCTTATTGGCGAGGATGAAGGGCGATGCTGCACCGCATGCGAGGTGATCGTCCGCCGGAGCAAACCTTGTGGTGGCAGCGTAGCAGAGAGCGCTGAGAAGGGCGAGGGCGAGGTGGCTCGGGTGCGTTTAGCCGTCGACTGTGGGACTGAGTCTCGCCATGTCCACGGGTTGAACCCACTGGTTCCATCCATTCTGAGTATCATCTTCGACCCTAACCTGCCCCACCCTGCCCGACATCTCTTATACACCCTGCCCCAACCCAGCCTGCTGATTAACCCATTCGAACCCTTCTAAACGAAATTAAACGAGAACCCACACCATTTAACCCAAACAAACCCAACCCATTAGCAGGCCTAAGTATTATGTGAATGGTTTGTAGGTAATATAAATTGGTTTATCTACATTATCCCCTGAAAATATATCCAGATAGTAAAACTTTTGTTTGCTTGGGATTTATTAAGGTATGTACAGAACATCTTGGTATGGTATGCACGATATTATCTAGTTGTTTACTGAATAGTCTTTGCCTTAATTTGTTGCAGTGTTCCTGGGGAAGCAAGCCGACTCCACCAGGGACAGCATCCTCGCCTCTGCCTCCTCCAGCACCGGCACCATTCTCCACTGGAGTGTCGGCGACAGACTTCCTGGCCTACCAGCGCCTGGCCCTGAGCAAGATGGCCACGAACCCAGCCCTAATGGGTCAGCACGCCTTGAAGCAGGTCGCTGCACTGGGGATGGGCGGCGGAGCCAGCCAGTCCATCTATGACGGCGACTTCCAGGGCATCAATACTGCCACCGCCACAACCTCCGCCCAGCAGCAGCAGCAGCTCATGTACTACTAGAGTACTACTACATGAGGCACCAGCTATCTATCCCTTCAAGAGGAAGGCGAGGATAATGGATGATGCCCCTTACTACACCCCTATACATATAGTAGATGATGAAGCATTTACCAGGACCTTTTTTTTTTTACCTAATCTTTTAAGGCCCATCTAAGTAACATGTCCTCTCTTTGCTAGCTATATATATAAACCGTAGAATGTATGTATTTCTGGATACATGAAGACCCAAGGTTCTTAGTATAATTTTCTGTGTTTCACCATCTTTTTTTGTGCTGTATGGATTTTCATTGCCAATTACTGTATATATATTACTGGATGGCAAGCGTCATGTTCTCGTCGAGTCGTACTAACTGTTAGGCCCTGGTTGGATCTATAGGACTTAAGTACAAGTCCCTCTGTTTGAAATTATAGGTCGTTCTGGTTTTCTAGCTTTTGTTATGCATTAGATATATATATTATTATGTCTAGAAACATAATAAAAGATGCGTATCTATAGAAAAGCTGGAGGGAGTAGTTGATTAAATTTTATATTTCTTAAGGATCCAAACTGGCCGACGCCAATCATGGACAAGTTATTAGTTTACTTTAAAAAAGGATCTTAATAAGCTGTATAGGTGTTTCCTTTGGGCAAAGTGGGATATATATGCGTTTCAAAGAAAGAAAAAAGAAAAGAAAAGATAAGTGGTGCATGTACGTGTTCCTCACATTGTTATTGGAACTTGCACACAACTCCTCACACTGTTATTGCCTGGGTACCAAGTTTTCGGTCTGTAGTCTTTCTTCAGCTCGCTTGGTCCTGCGATTCAATCATGCAATCTAGCGAAAAGATCGACTGCGCGACCACAAGTAGAAGAAGCGATTGTGCGGCGTGGAGGGACTTCGTGCTCGACAACGGGCTCCAGCTCGGGGTGTCTTCTAGGTCGTCATGCGTACTGTCCGAACTGAAGATGCAACTGAAGGAAGCAGCAACGACGAGGAAGATGAAGCTAGTGTTTCGTGCGCAGGTGCTCCCCCGGCGGCTTGCCAGATGAGATGACCCCCAGGGGCGCCATGTGCCCATGTCCTATATATACGACTACAGTTAGTAGTATTTCTACTTCATCATGTCTGAAACTGCAACGTGCTGGCAGTCCAATTTGGGTGTAGAATCATGCAAAGATAGATACCGCATTAGCCATTACTGAAGGTGCATTTGCCGTTTATAGTTTGTATTATCGTGGCTGCCAAAACATTCCGAGGCTCTGCTTTATCTACTGATAGTGAGATGCGGCAGCATATCATGCCACAGGATTACTTTGCCACAGTTGATCTTCTATGTTTGTGGTGCATACAAATGCTCATTAAACTTTATTCTCAGTTGATCTTCTATGTTTGTGGTGCATACAAATGCTCATTAAACTTTATTCTCTATAGAAACTGCTATAAAAAAGCCTATGTATGTATTGGGATGATTGAGACTAAATTAGGCGCACACACTACTCTAGAAGACTACACTATGCATTGGGACTGCACTAACTGTCGTCAGAGTCTGTCAATCCAAAGCCGGACGACTGTCCCCTTCAACTTTTTAAAACTCTTTATTAAGTGACCTCTCTAGCCCTTCCACGCTTGAACTGTTTAAATTACCACCCTAAAATTGTTTGAATTACCTTTCTGTTCCACTTAGGAGTGATTTTCTAGATAGTTTCATTAATTTTAATTCTACGATTAAAAATCTAGAGAACAAGTAATGGTTTTTAAATCACAAGAAGTATCTCAAGTTGTTTAGGTGTCCCTTAACTCCAAAATAGAATAAAATGTCTCGTTCAACTCTCATAATTTTTAGAATGATTTCAAGACGATTTCATGGTTTTTATTTTTTGAAATAAAGAAACTACAAAGCACATAATAAAGTTTTTAGACCACAGAAAGCGACGCTTGTGAGAACTTTGAAGAAAAACGTGGCACGAGAAAACCAAATAAACATTTTGAGGTCATGGAAGAAAGTATCTAAAAGCTTTCATAAATTAGGTTTAGCTTATATGAGACTCGAAAAAGCATACAAAACTCTAGAAAATTCCCAAACGTTCTAATAAATGTCTAAATGTGTTTCAAAACTTTCAACAACCAATATTTGAGATGCAACCAGCGTGAATATATATTAGTAAATTTTTTCACATTTTTTAGAGCTAAATCTAATTTATAGAAGCTTCTATTATATATATTAACAAGATTTACATATTTTATTTGGGTTTCTTATATCCTAACATCTTTACGATTGTTCTATAGGAATTTTAGAAACCTAGAAATATTTTCCACGGTCTAAAACCTTGTCATGTATATTATTTTAATTTAATAAATAATGAAGCCTCCTAAAAAAACACTTCTAACTGGGGCAGTGAGATAATTGAAACGGTTTTGAAATTATAACTGGGGCAATGAGATAATTTAAATGGTTTTGAAAGTTAACGAGATAATTTTTTTTTGAGTGGAGTTAACGAGATAATTGTTCGTCCGTTCGAGTATATCCAGCATGTGATTTGTAGGCCGAAAGAAAGAAGAGGCCCAAGCCCAACCGACCGACAGAGGTGCGCGAAGCATCCGGGGTGCTGCTCTGCTCCCTGAACACAAACTCGCTTCTTTCCAAGCTCTCCTCCGCCTCGCCGCCGCCGCCGCCATGTCGGGCTTCGTTCGCCGTCTCGGGGGCATCCCGTGGCGGAGCATCGCGGGGGACGCCCTCTCCCGCGTGTTCCTGGTGGCGCAGGCCTACTGCGCCGTCCACGTCGTCGACCAGCACCTCTGCTCGCTCGCCATCGTGCGGGGCCCCAGCATGCTGCCGGCCATGAACCTGGCGGGCGACGTGGTGGCGGTGGACAGGGTCAGCGCGAGGCTCGGCCGGGTCGCGCCCGGGGACGTCGTGCTGATGATCTCCCCCGAGGACCCGCGCAAGTCGGTCGCCAAGCGCGTCGTCGGGATGGGAGGGGACTCCGTCACCTACCTCGTCGATCCCGGCAACAGCGACGCCTCCAAAACCGTCGTGGTGAGTGGTGAGTTGGTGACTGGGCTGGGATTTTCGGTCCGTACTGCTTGTTAAGTGCTGCCTCCGTGATTGGATTTGTGCTCAATTGATTGATGCTCTTGGCGCTGTAAAGATCCCAATTTGGTCGTTGGGGCGTAATGCACTGACGCTAGAGGATGGGGCCTTTAAATTCAAGTGCTTGGCATACTATTGTCGACAGTAGCTTTTGATTAGTGATTATTTATTATTTGTTGTGCTTCTCCGCATCGTTATTTTTTGAAGACAGGTTTAGTACTTGCTAGTACATTTTACTTGCTTCGAATTAAGATGCGTAGAAGACCTGTGTTTTTGGTAATTGCTACCTGTTTTAGACTCTAGGCACCAAAGTTAGGGAGGCGTTTCTATGAGCTCCGCCTCAAAATTGTGCTTGATCTTTGATTATATGATTTTTGAACCACTGGTGGTGTTGGTTCAGTATGAGATATGGTGTTACCAACCTAAAATTAATTACTACTGATATAATTAGATTCTCGATGAATTAGAACTAAGTGCTGGTAAAACCTTGCACTGTGCTACCATCAGTATATTTACCCCACCAGAAGGTGCAACTTCTACATTTGTGTTTGAACTTAGAGATATCAATAGCACAAAAAATTGGCTTATTTAGGTTTGCTTTCCATAGACTGGCAACATGATGTTCATGTCTTTAAATTCAGGAAATTGGTTATGTTCACATTCATTACTGATTTAGTGGGTTCCACGTGTAATGTGGGGGCCTGATGAGTTCTATGCTTTCTTGAGTTTTGTATTTTTTTTATTTATATCCCTTGTCATTATTTTGTTTCAAAATTGTACGGTCACTCATGCCCTTAACTTGGGCGATTGTATAATAATAGGTACCACAAGGTCATGTTTGGGTGCAGGGCGATAATGTTTATGCTTCTAGGGATTCAAGGCAATTTGGAGCCGTGCCTTATGGTCTCATTACAGGGAAGATCTTTTGCCGGGTAAGCTCAGCTATTTGTTTTGCATATTTGTTAATTTAATTTAGGAGGCTGGTGCAATCTCTGGAGCCAATATTTTGCTTTATGCATGGCCCCATAAGTTGGGACACAAGCAACTAGCAATTGTTAAATTTGCAGAAAAGGACAAAGTCGCACCTTTACTCTGCTGCTGTGTGCATGGTTATATTGATGTTAAGTTTTGTAAATTATAGTTGAAGTGCTTCAGTATCTTATGAGCACATGTTTCCATTTCAAAATCCTGGATAACTATCAATTTTGTCTTATAACAATAATCATAATTTGGGGCAATACATTTTGCTGGCATATACTAGAGGGTAAATATTGTCCCGCTAGGTTCAGCTCTGGTCTCTAGAAAACAAGACAAAACCGGGCATCATGGGTCCCCAATGCCAGTGAAAACATGGTATCATTTGAACTGGAAGAATTATTCATTTGGCTGATATTGATATGCCTAGCTGCTGCTGTCTTAGGGATAATAATGTTTGCACTCTGGATATCAACATGTAGATTTTAAAATTTAATGTGCTTGATATTGATGTTGGAATGGAGATTTACCTATTTCAACTTGCTACCTGTTGATGTTTGTGGAGTGAAATCTAAGGCTTAAGATTCAGTTAGCATGTTTCCATAGTCCTTAGCACACCTTAGAACATTGTTGCCACAAATGGGAGTATTGACAGTGACTGTTTGATCTTAGGTTTGGCCGCTGGAGGGCTTTGGTCCAATTGATTCAAACCAGTCTTAACAGAGGTAATTTAGCTTTTTTGTTGCATCTTGTTTTCTAAAAGATACCTGGCTCTCTCTAATCATCATTTGTGCTAACTTCTGTGTTTTCCATTTTTCTGGACCCATATTATTGCTCGTGCCCAGAGATTTAATAACCAACTGCAGGGCCCTTGAGCTTGAAAGCTTTTGATCTTCTATAGCACATTGCTACAGCGAAGCAGAGTGTACCTTGATGTCCCATGTTTTGAGTTTTTAGTGTGTAACAGTTTTGGTTGTCACACCTGAAATCCCAATCAGCACATGTTCTGATACAATTTCTTGTTCTAATGCCTGGGTTGTAACTTGACTGCCAGTGGATTTTGTAGAGGGTGGAGCCTGAATACCTGATTGATTCATGTAAATTGAGGTATATTAGTTTCGAGCATATCAAACTGAATTACATACTTCTGGGTGCAGAGAAATCGCTTGATCTGTGCACTCTGAACCTTGCTTATTCAAGTCATTTAAACTAGAGGACTCTGGCATGTCTTGATGAAGTGCTTTACCAGTCTTAGAAAATGCTCATCTGAGATGCCAGAAAATCAGAATGATATTTGTAGCTTGCACTTACGACCATGGGAACATCAGAATCAATTCCTACATTCTAGGACAAAAATACAAAATCGAACATTGGAACATATCATTGATCAATTGCAGGAATGCAGTTCACTAAGGAATGCCTCGAGCTCGAGTCCATCTCCAAATTTGTAGCTTCCAAATTTAATAACTGATGCAAGCAGGCGCATGCTATATAGTACTACATAAAGCGTTGACAATGAACTGTCAAATGTAACTAGGCCGGAATGTAAGTAGGGATGTTATTTTGTCTCTTCCAGGTTGAAGGCATCTAACATCCCGCTAATGAACTTGACGCATGCCTGGTTGAATTTGAGACAGCCATGCTTGTGAGCCAGCTGCAGTGTATCCACAGCCGTGGTTGCATCGATGTAGCTGCACAGCATGTCGACGCAGATCAACTTCAGCCTCTCCATGCCATACCGATCTGCCACCACCAGCAGACCACGAGCGATGGCGATCCTGTCGCCGTGGTCCGCTAACTCGTCAGAAAGAGAGTCGGTGTAGATGAAGATGAGCAGTGCCTTGAACACCCTCGGCGCCATGCCGTCGACCCGCACGTGACGAGAGCCGCCACCGACGGCGATCTCCTTCCCTGTGCCATGGACCTCGTTGGCGCTCTCCTTCCCTGTGCCACGGACCTCCGCCATGAACACCGTGGACGACCGGGCGGCGAGCACGCACCTGTGCGCCGTGAACTGCTCGCCGCCGACCACAAACGTCACGTCCCTTCCGACCTCGCTAGCCAGCAGGAGGTCGCCGAGATGCCTCCGGTGCAGGTCCGGGAGCGGTGGAACCGCGGGAGGCTCCCTGATGATTGTGACGTCACACCTGATACGGCAGCAGTCGTCGTCCGGGATGAGCAGGTAAGACTCCAACGGCTTCCGCTGGATGAACTCAGCAATGCCCCATGAGCCATTGTTGCTCGAGAAGGTCTGTAGGTGCCTCGATCTAGCAGACAGAACTGCCTCTCCGGCACGATCGAGTAGGATGAACCTGTGACTCGCCTTCACTTCATGGCTGGCGCCATGGTGACCGAGGCAGAGGAAGATGGACACCCAGTCGGCGCCCTCCTCGTCTTCGCCGCACGGGTACGTAGCACTCGATGTACCAGCTGTGGCCCCCGACGCGGAACGTGTCGGATTGGATGCTCTCGCCGACGGCGAGTGCTGACGTGGTCTTGGTGTACCCGTCTATCGTCAGCACGTGCGACCCGACCACGGTCTCGGTGGCAACGGCCGTGGCGCATGAGGATGATGGGGGTGGTGGTGTCCATACGAGCGGCGTAGCCGGCGGATGTGCAATGGCGAAAGGGAGATGGATGGATGCAGAAGAACGCGCCAGTTTGGTGGTCAGTCACGGTGTGAAATGGCGTGTGCCTTTTGTAGGCTTGTAGCAAGATCCCGGGCCGCGCTACACGAGCCGTCGCGGACTCGAGAGGTCGCGGCATGCCCGCCGGCCTGCCGAGGAGACGCGTTTGGCTTGCCGGCGTGCGGCGCCGTGCATGCACGCGAGCGGCGGCACAAGGATCGACGTGCTGTGTTGGGAATTGCATTGGGAGCACGCGAGGACACTGCTTCTTGAATGTACGGTACGTGCTTTGAGAGCGTATATTCTTTTGATTTGTCACGGCACATTTTGAAGACTCCGTATGAAGCAGAATGTACCTTGATGCTTCTATATGTACCTAGCAAATATACTCGAGTGTTGTAACCGAAAAAAAACTATCAATATTTATGAAAAAACATTACATATCTTTCGATGGGCGGATGACGACGGTCTCGAGGAGTCTGATGATGACTGCTCCAAAAACCCTTACTTGGACACCGCTCGCTACCCGGTGATGCCAGTAATGATGTACTCCACTAACTCCTCATCCAGCCATCTCCTGGCAGCCGCCATTTCATCGCCAAGGGCTTTCATTTTGGCGAAGTAGTCGGTAATAGATGCGCTACCCATCTTCGTGTTGGCGAGCGCAATGCGCAAATTCACGGCACGCGTGCGGGTTTGCGATGCAAACATGTTCTTGATCTCTGTCCATGCCGTTGTTGCAGTGTCGCATGTAGGGAATTGTGTCATCACTTCCTTGGATAGCGATGAGAACTTGTTGGTCCGCTGCCTCCCATCCTTCACAGGCCGGGTTTGGCCTCTTGACTTCCTTGTCGTCGACAGTGGCGACTACCTTCTCTGGTCTCTGGTGGAGCCTTGGAGTCGTCGGTGAGGTGCCCATGAAGACGGGCACCGCGTACAACCGCCCTGACCTGGGCCTTCTAGAGGGCATGATTGAGCTTGCCCAGTTTCTCCGAAATTGTTTGGACGGAGAGTGGATTTCGCGCCGCCGATGAGGAGCATGCCATGGCGACAGTGTTGGCTAGAGATAGGATCTAATCTTGGCAATGGCTCTGATGACCATATAAAACCTATCAGAGGCTCAAGGTAGGAGAAGCACCGGGTCCTAGCTCGGAGCCTCGGTGTATGCGTGTTGATTAGAATAGATGGAAAGGCCCCATCTGTGGCATTAGATATATGACCGACATCCGGATGGCCACGTCTGTCCTTCTCACAATCCTCTGGCGCCTGTGGGACGCGAGGAATGCCGAAGGCTTCAGAGGTGAACGGCCATCAGCAGTTCAGATCATCAACCACGTGATTGACGATCTCCACATTTGGGAAAAGCGCTTCATCATCATCATAAAAAAAAAACTGTTGGATGGCCACAAGATGATGGCTACAAAGTATATCTATCTACAGCAAACTATATCTTGTGGCCACCATATCTTGCCAGGTTGTTGCCGTGTACAACAAAACGCACGCACACGCAAGCATATCCTTTAACAATAATAGTATCTAGTGCAATGCTGGCATGTTAGAGGGTAAATATTACTATCGCTCTAGGTTCATAGGCATAGTAGGGTCCATAAAAAAGGAGGACAAAACTGGGCATCATGGGCCACCAATGCTAGAATGAAAACAGGGTATTGTAAAATTTAAAATTTTATTTGCTTGACATGGATTTTCCAATGGAGATTGACCTGTTTGAACTTGCTAACTGTTGATATACATGGAGTGGAATCTAAGTCTTAATATTCAGTTAGCGTGTTTTCATAGTCCTTATGCGTCAACAAAATGCTCAATTCCTACCAACATTATTGCTGCAAGTTTGCCCTCTAGGTGAATATGGGAATATTGACAGTGAGAATTCAGTCTTAGGTTTGGACACTGGAGGGTTTTGGTTCGACTGATTCAAACCAGTCTTAATAGAGTTAAATCTAACCTTTTTCCTTGCGTCTTGTTTCTAAAATAGGCCCGTCTCTATCTAATCTTCATATGTGCTCAATTTTTTGTTTTCCGTTTTCTCGAGGGCAGATGCTCCCATATTGTTGCTTATGTTCAGAGGTTTAGTAGGCAACTGCAAGGCCCTGGACCTTGGAAGCTTTTGAGCTACTATGGCACATTTCTACAGCGAAGCAGTGTGAGTATCTTTTGAATCTTAGTGTGTACGACAAATTTGGTTCTCAGTTCTCACACCTGAAATCCCAATCCGCACATGTTCTATTGCTTGGGTTGTATCTTTATTGTCAATAAATTTTGTAGAGAATAGAACATTAAAATCTGAATACCTGATTGATTCATGTAAGTTTTAAGCATGGTTGAGCATAATCAATTTATTATCAAACTGAATTACAAACTTCTGTTTGCAGTGCAGACGGTTGAAATGATCATAAAAATGATAAGGATATTTGCAGCTTGCACGAACGACCTTGGTAAGCAACTCCTAGCATCTAGGACAAGATAGAAATTTGGAACATATCATTGATACGTTACAGAAATGCGGTTCATTACAAAATGCTTCAAACTGAATAAGTTGATCACCTGGCTTTGGAGGTTCGAATGCAAGTTAATAACCTAGTACGCGCATGCTACTTGAAGCTTTGACAATGAACTTACCGTGACACTAGGTCTTATTACTTGGAGATACATAGGGATCTTAATTGGTCTCTTCCTGGTCGACGGAATCCAGCAGGTCTCAAGGAACTTGATGCATGCATGTTTGAGCTCGAGACATCCATGCCTGTGAGCCAGCTTCAGAGTAATCGCAGCCGAGAGTGCATCAATGTGACTGCACAGCATGTCGCTGCAGATCAACTTCAGCCTCTCCAAGCCAAAATGATCTGCCGCCTTCAGCAGATCCCATGTGATGAAGAACTTGTCGCCGTGGTCTGCTGCTAGTTCCTCACCAGGAACAGAGTCGGTGTAGATGAAGTGGAGCAGTGCCTTGAACACCCTCGGCTCCATGCCGTCGACCCGCACGAGATGAGAGCCGACGGCGGTCTCCTTCCCGGGTCAAAGGAGCTCCGCCACGAGCACCGTGGACCGGGCGGCGAGCACGCACTTGTGCGCAGTGAACTTCTCGCCACCGACCTCGAACGTCACGTCCCTTCCGACCTGGGTAGCCAGCAGGAGGTCGCCGAGAGATGCCCCCGGTGCAGGTACGGGGATGGCACCGTTGGGGGATCCGGGATCCCTGATGACGGTGACGGCACAACTGATACGCAAGCAGTCGTCGTCCTGGCGGCTCAAATATGCCTCCAGCTGCTTCCTACGGACGAACTGAGCAGTGCTCCGTGAGCCAAGCTTGCTCGAGAAGGTCTGTTTGTGTGTAGACCCAGCGGGCAATAAGAATGTCTTCCACGAACGGTTCAGCAGAGTGAACTTGTAGCTCGCCTTCACTTCATCCTTGCTAGCGCCATGGCGATCCAGGCAGAGGTAGACGGACACCCCCAGTCGGCGCCGTCTTCGTCTTCCCCGCGCGGGTAGCACTCGATATACCAGCTGTGCCCTCCGACGCGGAACCGCTTGGATTGGATGCTCTCGCCGATGGCGAGTACTGCCTTGGTCTTGGTCTCGGTCGCGACGCCTTCTGTCTGTGCTGCCGCTGGTGCCGGTGGCCATTTCGTTTGCGATATGGACGGATCGGCTAGTGGCGAAAGGGAGATGGATGCAGCAGAATGCGAAAATGGGGTGGCTTTTGTACCACGATCGCCGCGCGCGGTCGTGTCGCACGCAGCGTCGGGCCACCCGCCCGGCCGGCCGCCGAGGAGACGGGTTTGAATGGTGTGGGGCGGCGCCGTGCATGCGCGCGGTGGAATGCTGATCGACAAGCGATGGACCAGTTGAGAATTGGGAGCGGCACGAGCCACGAGGAAACTCTGTTCCTTAAATTCTTGGGAGCTGTGCGGTGGTACTTTTTCACAGCGAAGAGGAATTTAATGCATCTTCATGTGATCTTTTCCCCTTCTTTTTAGGCCCGTTTAGTTCCAAGCCAAAAACCAAAAATTTTCAAGATTTCCCGTCATATCAAATCTTGCGGCACATACATGGAGTACTAAATGTAGACGAAAAAAAAACTAATTACACAGTTAGCCGAGAAATCGTGAGACGAATCTTTTAAGCCTAAATAGTCCATAATTGGACAATTTTTGCCAAATAAAAACGAGAGTGCTACAGTAGCCAAAAGCCAAAAATTTTCGAAACTAAACGGGGCCTAAGGCACGTCCTCCTTAATCCCAATCAGCACGTCCTCCACTCCTAATACTTCTTGTCTATAATTTTAATGGGGAACATAAACTAAATACCTGATTGGTTCATGTAAGTCCAGGGTTGCCAAATTTGAGCATATGGTAGATTAGGCCAGTCTCAGTGGGGTTTCATCAGAGTTTCATGAGCATTAAATAGGCTGATGCGGCACCGTATTGATGAAGAGAGAGATGATAAGAGTTTTATGGGAGTAGAGAGAGTTTCATGAGGATAAAACTCTTCTGCACTATTTCCAAAATATAGATGCATTGGTAACAGGGCTATGAAATCCCCACTGAGACTGGCCTTATAGGGTAAATTTGCTATAGAACAACTCTACAATGTTGATATTTGCTCAGGGCAGTCCCAATGGTGTATTGATGATGATTTCTATTCTCATTAAATGACTTGCCACGTAGGTAAAACGCTGACATGGCAACGTAATTAATGAAGAAAGAGAGCAAAAATCCTAGAAATGGTTTTCTCATGAAGAAATCAGGTCTTCTCTTGACCCAATGCACCAAGAAACCATGAAATCGTCATTGGAAAGAAACCACCAATTTCTAGGGGGCTCGTGCCGTACTTCCATTGGAGAAAGAAGATAGAGTTGGCAGAGAGAAAGAGAAAATAATTATTACTCATAGAAACCATGGGTTGAAAAGCAGTACTTTTTTTATGCGGTATCATATATTATAGAAACTATTAGTTTCTTTTATCGGGACTGTCCTCGTGAACACTACTCAATGTTGTATTTGATAGAAGACAATATTCAATTATACTCCCTCCGTCCATCAGTCTCCGTCCTATTAGGGCCGCGCAGTTTTCTCGGTAGCGCGGGCGGCTGACGCCTCGTTTCTTCTACGGACTCATTACTATGCTGCTGCTTCCGTTAGCTCGTATACTTATCTGACGTTTCCTCCGTTTGTCCATCTACTGGACTCTTCCGCGACCGCGCGATCGAAACAGCCTGCCGGCATGGTCACCTATACAACAGCACAGCCGTGGGTAGCCCCCAGACGCACGCGCTGTCCCACGCGTTGCCGGAGTTGTCGATGCAGACCGTGAGGTTGACGCCGGTGACGCCGGTGATGGACACCATGAAACTGGACAGCGAAGTCAGTTACAATCTGTTACGGCGCCCCATCTAAACCAGCCCAAGGAAGCCCAACGTCCAAGGAAGAGCGCGAGGGCCCGGTCCAGGAGCGTCCGCGTCCGTGGCCCGGAATGGGTCTGTAACCGATGTGAGCTGGCGAGAGCGTAGAAAAGCAGAGAGAAGGGAGAGCACGCTTCTTCATCGTCTATCTTGTAAGAGAAGTTGAACTCTGTTCACGCCGGTCCTCGTTGGTGCGAGCGAAGGAACTCGTTATCGAGAGCGAGAGATTGATCGGAGATCCCAGTGGGTCGCTAACATACCTGGTATCAGAGACAGGTCACCGGCGAGCGCTGGAGTCCGTGCCGGTCGCCCATGAGCACTTCACGCGCCTGCAGCGAGCCCTTGGAGCGATGGATCCGGTCGTCGCCAAGACGTTCGATGAAATGCTCAAGCGGTTCGAAGACTTCGACGCGCGTTCCGCAGCACGCTGGGAGCGCCTGGAGAAGCGCTTTGAGGACGCGTCCGCCGCCCTTCAAGAGCATGAGCAGGCCGTCGACAGTCGCCTCAGCTCCTTGGAGGACTTCGCCTACTCCTAGTACATCGCCACCGTCGTCGTCGACAACTGGGGCTCCCACTTCGACTCCCGCATCTCCGACCTGGAGCAGCGCATGGCGGACTTGGAGCTCATCCGGTTGGCCGAGATCCGCGATGAGCGCGACGACCGCGTGGAGGCATTGGAAGGCGCCGTCGGGGAGCTCCAAGGCTGGCGCATGAAGGTCGACGGCAACATTGATGACATCCGCTACGACCTCCGCCTCCACATCAAGCCTCCAGCGACGCAGCCTCAGCAACCATCGTTGACGGCGCGTCGGGAGTCGGCCGCCGCCGCGCTTCACCCTAGCGGATCCACGGTCGACTGGCCCACCGGGCACCGCATCGAAATGACTACACGGGAGCGGCCCTATGGTTCGGTCACGACTATAGTTCCGTCCCCGGCCAATGGTACGTGTCGCACTCCCAATCCTGACCCTCCCCCGCCCGATTCATCACCTCTTGTCCGTCCACCACCCAATCCTACCAATTTTCCCCAACCCAATTCATCTCACCACAATCCCAATCTCGGCCACCTTCCCAAAATGCATTTCCCCAAGTTCGACGGCGAAGATCCCCAGTATTGGATGACCTGCGCTCATAACTATTTCGACCTCTACGCCGTCGATCCATCTATGTGGGTTAAGTGTTCCACTATGCAGTTCACCGGCGCAGCCCGCCGCTGGTTCAATCCGTCGAGCGCCAACTAATCGGCCTCGATTGGCCATCCTTCTGTCGTCTGATTCGTGAGCGCTTTTGCCGCGATCAGCATGAACTGCTCCGTCGCCAACACTTCCACATCAAGCAAACGACCACGGTCCAGGACTATGTCGATCGTTTCGTGGACTTGGTCGAACATCTCACAGCCTACACACCAAATCCAGACCATCTTTCTTACATAACTCGCTTCATCGACGGCCTCCGTGATGACATCCGGGCTATTGTTCTCGTTCACGTCCTTCCACGCTGGATGCTGCTTGTACTTTGGCGCTTTTGCAGGAGGAAGCCGTCGAGCCGGACAACAGGAAGGAGGTCCGCAAGGCTGACCATTACTCCTTCCACAAGCCGTCGGCACCCAGGGGAGCTCTTCCACCACCACCTCCCCAACGTGCCACTGCTTCTACAACCCCTACTGACGACAAGAAGCCTGCGGAGGAACGCCGTCATCCACCGCGCGCCGGGTAAGAAGAAATCCGATCAGTGATTGTGTTGCATCGTCCAAAAGATGTTGACACGGCAAGTGCCTTGGCTCTGATCCAAGAAGAGAGGAGCTGTCACAGGGGTTATTTCGTGCAAGTACCAAGGAATTTGGTAAAGGTGCTTGGAAGACAGGCCAAGATAAGCTCAAATTTGAGGAACCAGTGAAAGGGGTACAGCAACTTCAGAAGCATGAAACTAAAGATAAGCTGTTAGCTCTGAAGGAGTTTAGAAAGAAGAATGTGTTATGCTTCAAATGTGGCAACAAGTGGGCCCCAGGTCACAAATGCCCTCAACAAGTTCCACTGCATGTGATTGAGGAGATCTTAGATGCCTTGGAGGTGACAGAGGACAGTGAGGAGGTTGATCTGGAAGAATTGGAAGAGGAACTGTATTGGTTGTGGGTCACTCAGTTCATTGTTCATCACCTGTCAGGCGTCGTACCCTCAAACTGTGTGGTCGGATAGGCAAATTAGAAGTGCTCATTCTAGTGGATTCGGGGAGTGTTGGAACTTTTGTCAGTGAGCAGTTGGCTACCAAGCTCCAGGTAGCTCTCACAGATTGTCAGCCTACTCAGCTCATGGCTGCAGATGGAAGCCCCATGGTATGCTCCAAACAAGTCAAAGATCTTCAGTGGACTATACAGGGTCACACTTTTGTCTCAACAGCTGAGGTACTTCCATTCATGGTTTCCAATATCGGCCGAAATCTCCTGATATTTCCGATATATCCTCTTTATCCGTAGGTGCCGATAAGAAAATATCTATCTTTTTCGTACAAATTTTGTTTAAATTTATTTAAATTTACTTAAATTCAAATTAAATTTTATTTGAATTTGGTCCGATAATTCCGATATATCATGTTTATCCTCTTTATCTGTGACCCCCGATAAATTTTAATTTCCGAAAATGAAAACCTTGCTTCCATTAAGATGCTTCGATATGATTTTGGGTGCAGATTGGTTAGGATCATGCAGCCCCATGTGGGTGCATTGGTCAAAAAAGATACTGAAATTTACTCATTGTGGCAAGAGAATCATGCTTAAGGGACTCAATGGAGAGGCTCAACAGTGTGCAGCAGTATCTGCAGTTGGGTTACAAGGAATGCTAGACAAGCAGAATATAACTTGCTGCCTTCAGTTGCATGTTATGAAGCTGGATGATGAGAGACAGAGTTCAGATGATCTAATACACTCAGTAGACAATATGAATGAGGGAGCATTGCCACCAGAAATACAGCAGCTGCTAAACTTCTATGCTGACTTGTTTAAGGAGCCAACTGAATTACCACCACCCAGAGAGCATGACCATCAGATTCAGCTGTTACCTGGTGCTGCTCCAGTAAATATCAGGCCATACAAGTATTCACCTGCACAAAAAGATGAAATTGAGAGACAGGTTGATGATATGCTTAAGCAAGGAATTGTCAGACCAAGTGTCAACCCTTATGCATCTCCTATGCTGTTAGTAAAAAAGAAAGATGGTAGCTGGTGCTTTTGTGTGGACTACAGACACTTGAATGCACAGACTGTCAAGAATAAACACCCAATGCCATTAGTTGATGAGTTGATTGATGAACTGTCAGAAGCTAGATGGTTTTCCAAGCTGGATTTGAGGGCTGGATACCATCAGATTTGCATTCACCCTGAAAATGCTCATAAGATAGCATTCAGAACACACAGTGGTTTGTATGAGTTCCTTGTTATGCCTTTTGGGCTTACTAATGCTCCTGTTACATTCCAAAGCATCATGAACATAATCTTTGCTAGCTTGTTGAGGAAGGGAGTGCTTGTGTTCATGGATGATATACTTATATATTCTGCAACTTTAGAAGAACATGTCCAATTATTACATCAAGTGTTCCAGATCTTGAAGGAACATCAGTTCTTTGTTAAGTTGTCTAAATGCACTTTTGCCACTAAGGAGGTTGAGTATCTGGGCCACTGTATTTCTGGAGAAGGTGTTTCTACTGAGAAATAAAAAATTGTTGCCATTCAGAATTGGCCAGTGCCAACTAACCTCAAAGGGTTGAGAGGATTTCTAGGCCTAACTGGGTATTATAGGAAGTTTATCAAGAGCTATGGGCTTATCAGTAACCCTATGACACAGCTGTTAAAAAAGGGGACACCATACATTTGGACTTCAGTTCATCAGGCAGCTTTTGAGCAGCTTCAGCAGGCCTTGATCAATGCCCCAGTGCTGGCTATACCCAATTTTAGTAAACCATTTGTGTTAGAAACAGATGCTAGTGATGTGGGGTTTGGAGCAGTGCTGTTACAAGACAATCACCCAGTGGCCTATCTTAGTAAGCCTGTGAGCAAGAAGAATCAAGTGTTATCCACTTATGAGAAGGAATGTATGGCAATCATCTTGGCAGTAGACAAGTGGAGGCAGTATCTGCAACATGCTGAATTCATAATTAGGACAGACCATAAGAGTCTGTTGTACCTCACTGAGCAAAGAGTATCCTCCAAGATACAGCACAAGGCCCTGTTAAAGCTGATGGATCTGAATTTCAAAATCGTATACAAGCAAGGCATCACTAATACTGTGGCAGATGCTTTTGTCAAGATGCCATGAGCCTAATTCTCTTTATGCTGTCTCCTTCTGTAATCCCGTTTGGGTGGATCAGTTGAAGTTAGGCTATCAGGATGCTCTCACAATCCTTGCTAGCACTCCAAAAGATTATTCAGTCAAGGATGGCATTATCAGACATAAAGGAAGAATATGGCTGGGCAATAATGAGTTGGCTAAACAGCATGTCCTGCAGGCTGTTCACAGTTCTGCAGTTGGGGGGCATTCTGGAGTCCAAGCTACCTATTATAGGATCAAGAGTTTGTTTTCTTGTCCAGGAATGAAAGTTGATATTCAGAAGTACATCCAGGAGTGTCAAGTATGCCAGCAAGCAAAAGGTGAGCACATCAGATCTCCTGGCCTCCTCCAACCTTTACCTGTTCTAGAATAGGCATGGCAGATTGTGTGCATGGATTTTGTGGAAGGGCTACCTAAATCTCAGAGGTTTGACACTATAATGGTAGTTATTGATAAATTCACTAAATATGGCCATTTCATTCCTTTGGCACATTCATTCACTGCTTTGAATGTGGCTCAAGCTTATGTGGATTCAGTCTATAAGCTGCATGGGTTACCACAGGGAATTGTGTCTGACAGAGACAAGATTTTCACCAGTGCTATTTGGAGAGAACTGTTCAGGCTGACTGACACAAAGCTCATGATGAGCTCATCTTACCATCCACAGACTGATGGTCAAACTGAGAGATTGAATCAATGTTTGGAAACTTTACTCAGATGTGCAGTTAGTGCTTGTCCGAGACAGTGGAGCAAATGGTTGTCTGTGGCAGAGTTTTGGTATAACACCAACTACCACTCAGCATTGGGCAGATCACCTTTTGAAGTGTTGTATGGTCATTCCCCAAAGCATTTTGGAATTGCAAATGACAGTGTGCTTCATCCTCCTGAGTTAGAACAGTGACTGATAGAAAGGAACATGTTGGGAGATTATATTCAGCATCATCTTCAAAGAGCTCAGCAGCGTATGAAAAGTCAAGCTGACAAAAACAGAACAGAAAGGGAATTTCAAGTCGGTGATCAAGTCTTTTTGAAGCTTCAGCCTTATATTCAATCTTCAGTTGCTCCCAGAACCAATATGAAGCTCAGCTACAAGTTCTATGGGCCATTCCCAATTCTTCATAGAATCGGCACTGTAGCATATAAGTTGGCTGTACCTGAGGGTTCTAAGATTCATCCTGTGGTGCATGTTTCCCAGTTTAAGAAGCATGTGGCACCGTTGGTGTTGATTGAGGATGACATTACTGCAGTCCCCACAGACCCTGCAGAAGTAGTGCATCCAATTGAGTTCACTGACAGTAGGATGGTGATTAAAGGAGCTTCAGCTGTGTCCCAGATTCAGGTACGGTGGAGTTCCCTACCATCATCATTGACTACTTGGGAAGAAGTCACTGATTTGCGTCGTCGCTACCCAACAAGTCCAGCTTGGGGACAAGCTGGTTTTCGTGGAGGGGGCAATGTCAGGATCGCGGGCAAGCGCCGTGGCAAGGCTACTGTTGGGTATTCGACAACTGGCAAGGCAGGTGGCTGATACAGCTGGCGTGAGGGCCAAGTGGGCCGATTCTGTTTCTGTTATCTGCTGGCGTCGTAGGCGGTTACGGCAGCTTGAGTCGGCAATCGTATCTGCTGGCGTCGTAGGCGGTTACGGCAGCTTGAGTCGGCAATCGGGCATCCCCGTCGCCATTCCATTCGTCTAATTCTACCCTAAGTTCTTGCTCTTCCCAGTCTCAAACTCCGATTCCTCTGGTTATCCGTTGCAATCCATCTCGGATCGCAACACAGATCTGTGCACATCCTAATCCTCCATTCATCTCATCGCTGGCTGACAGCAGCTGTACGGAACGCTCGTCTCCAAGCCGAGCCAAGCAGCATTCTTCCCTTCTTCCACTCCATTCGAGCCAAGCAGCTTCGGCGGCGGCGGCGGCCACGGCGTCTGGCATCACCGCTGGCCACAGCAACGTCGAGACGGCCTCACGAATCCCGTTTGGTCGCGGGAACGGTGGCGGCCGAGGATATGGTGCGTCAGCGGCACCCATACCCTCGCGGCGGAGCCACGAGTTCGGGTTGTCGGTGGCTTCATCAACGGCGTTGGCGGAGGGTTCTCCCATGATAGGCTACTGCGCTGCTGCTACGGCGGATTCTGCCATGGGTGGATCTTTTTTTTTATACTCTGTCATGGGTGGATCTGGCTACTGCGCTGCTGCTGCGGCGGATTCATCCCCGATCCATGGCAGAAGAGGCTTCCCCGACGCCGGCAGCCACGGGGGAGCTTCACTGGCGCCACTTCTTGGGATGAGGCCAGCAGTGGCAGCCCTCTTTCTCCTCCATTTGGGCGTCCACCAAGTTGGGATCCAAAGTGGTAAAACTTTATCCAAATTATTTTCTTGTCAGTCATATTTATGAACTGGATTATCAATAATTTCAACTTTATTAAAATTGGATGAACTGTGACATCAAACTGAATGTCTTTGTGTAGTATGAATTTTGTTTGGCAATTGTTCAGTACATATGTGATTACTAGTCATGCTATTAATCATGCTGTCATCCTGTTATATAGTGGACAAGTAGGGTACGTTGCTGTAGATTTGGTAAATGTGCCAATGCTGCTATGGACTTGGTAATCTCCAGTTCCTGTAGTGCTGAAACTATGCAATCTCTAGTTCCTGTCAACTCCACTTTCTGTCATCCAGTAACTGTTGTAGTTCTGAAAGTGTGAACTACTACTAGATCTTTTTTTTCTCAGATTCATGTATGCTCTGAACATTGTCATCCTTTGCCTTCTTCAGTTTTCAGTTTTAGTTACTGGATGCATCATTTGTCTAAAAATGTTGTTAGCTATTTCATTTTCAGTTACTAGATCCTTGATCAGTACTGCAGTTGTTTAGTCTTTTTTCAGTAGTTACTGGATCCTTCTTCAGTTTTTTCAGTACTGCAGAAGTTTACTGGATCCTTGATCAGTGTATGCTATCAGTCTGAACTTGCTGTGCATTACTATCAGTCTTGCGGTCTGAACTGCTACTTGAAATGGTACTAACTTGATGATCCATTATTTATTTGTTTGCAGGGATAAAGACCCACAATCTAGTTAGGAAGTTCATAAAGATAGAGCCTGCATTTCTTTCATGGCAAAGCAAAGCAAAGCAAAGCTGCATTCTGACTGGCTAAATTTTTTCAGCCTGTTAATATAGAGAACACTAGATGAAAGACTGAGAACCTGTTAATGCGGTACATTTCTGATTGTTTCTTTTTTGTGTGTGTGTGTGACCAATGACGGGAAGCCTATTTCACCAATGACCAGGCCAGATAGGTAACTACAAATTTTAAGCACTAGTTTTACACAGCAGGCCATATAACTACACTTTTAACGCACCGGGAATCCCTGCCTCCTCCGCACTGTAGACACTGTTCATTTTCCTTTTAATTTTCTCTTTTTTCCCTTTCTTTTTTTCCCTTCTCTGTTTCTTTTTTTTTCTTTTTTTTACTATTTCTCCCCTCACCTACATGCGTGCAGCGGAGCGCGCGCCCTCTGCCTAGTAATTGTTATTTTCCTAGGACTACCTTACTTACTAGAAAGACTGTTTGTGTTATCCATATGTTGCTTCATATTCAGAAATAATATAGGTTCAGTCATATAGTATTTATTGAGTTTCTGAGTACAATTTTTGAGCTCTGTATGGTGAGAGTCTCCTATTTTGCTTTTTTCTGTAATCTTGATGAAGCACGCAACAATAGATTGTTGTGATGCCAAAAGAAATAAAAATATATGGTTTTTAAAACACAATAAGCTAGGCTGACAAATGGCACCATCAAATACAATTGTTGTTATGACCCAGTACTTAAGATCCGATGCGCATCTCTATGTTTTTTTGTGTTGTGGGATACTAGTGATATATGTAGTATTTTAGCCGCGATTCATGTTATGAGTTATACACATACATTGATTTGGTGCTGCTGATCGCGGGGGTTGTAGGAGCTAACAGATTGTTGTTTGTTAGTTCTTTGGTTGGCAGTTTATTGGGTTACTTAGACTTTTTTGTTTTAATGGTTTTGCCTTTTTTATGCTTTAGCAATTTGACTTTGGGATTTGTTCTTGTTGTTTAAGTCTATTAGGTTTCTTAGTTGCTGGTCTTTTGAATTGCTTATACTTTCATGTTTATTATCTGTTTTTTGTTTTTTATATGGGCTCATATTTTTTATATTGTTCATATTGTTATTTTTTAGAAGTTTTTTTTGTTGTTAAAATTTTCATGTAGCTGAGTTTTATTATTGTAGTGCAAGTAATTGTTTTCGGATGACGTCCTTGATTATGGTGAACATGATGATGTTGACGAAGCTCCAAAGCCAATTGATTTTGGCTATTTTTTCCTGGATGTCTTTTAGTTGCTGCTGCTGATTGGGCTGCTACCGCTGTTGTTGCAGTTGCTGAGTTATAGATGTGGTGATTATTTGATTTGTGAGGGAGCAATAGGTGTAGCTGAGATGAGTTTTTTTGGCTGTTATTTTCAGAGTTGTTTGCTAGCTGCAAATTTTTTTCCAGGTAAACTATATGCTGGTCTTGAAGTTGTTGTCTGGAGCTGTGGCGTTATTCTCTAGGTCGGTTTTTGGATTTGGTCGTGCCCTACAGGTTATATGAGTTTGTTTTTCTGCATGTGAACTTTTGTAGCTGTATCAGTTGTAGCTGTTTGTTGGATTTTTTTTCTTATGCCCATTGATGTGTGGGTGTGCGTGGGTGGGTGGGTGTAGGCGTGGGTGGATGTGTGTGCATTATGTCAGGTGATTGATGTTGTTGGTGTTGTATCTTTGATGGTGAGTTTTCTTTGGGTTGGTTTTCACCGGCAAGTTGAGTAGATGCAGCAATCTGCATGTTAGTAGTTGCTCTCTGTGCAAGTGTTGATTTGAGTTTGTCTTGTGTCGCTTTTTTTATGGTGAGTTTTCTCTGGGTTGGTCTTCACTTGCAACTTGAGTAGATGCAGCAATCTGTATGTTAGTAGTTGCTCTTTATGATGACTCACTACGGGATACAATAGCTTTGCCGAGTGCCAGGGGCAGTCGGCAAATGCCCAAAAACACTCGGCAACTGCTTTGCCGAGTGTAACACTCGGCATACAACACACGACATCAACAGTGTCGGCAAATAGTAGTTTGCCGAGTGTTTTCTATCGCGCACTCGGCAAATGGTTTGCCGAGTGTCAATAAACACTCGGCAAAAAAATGTTAACGGGATGGCACGGTGACGGCGATTTTGCCGAGTGCACGACGAAAAAACACTCGGCAAAGTTTCTCAAGTTTCCTGAGTGCCAAGCCCAAAACACTTGGCAAAGTTTTTAAACTTTGCCGAGTGTCAATTCCAAAACACTCGGTAACGTTTCTAAAGTTTGCCGAGTGTCAAGACCAAAGCATTCGGCAAAGTTTACACACTTTGCCGAGTGTCACGCCCAATACACTCGGCAAACAAGCGCACAACGAGCAGATTTTATGGTCACTTTGCCGAGTGTCCATTAGAATACACTCAGTAAAGACAAAACACTCGGCAAAAAAGGTTCCCAGAATAACAAAAATTGGTCTCTTCGCCGAGTGTTTTGGCTTGACACTCGGTAACGCCTCTCTTTGCCGAGTGTTACACTCGGCAAAGCGACCAATACCCTCCTTTTTACTAATCTATCCCGTATAACGGACCCCTCTCAATTCATAATAAACCATCACAATTCACAATAAAGCATCATCACAGGCATAATTGTATTTCGCAGGCATAATAAATCATCATCACAATTCACAATAAACCATCATCACAAGGCACAACTAAGTCACAATAAGCCACAAATGCAAATCCAATCACTGCGGAGGCCCTGTGACAAATCCGGGTTTTGAGACTGATTATTTGATGCCGCCGATTGATTCTGCACAAAAGAGAAGAGATTGCATGTGTAAGCTGTAGATATAAAAAACTCACTGCAATCAGAAAGTATAAGTAGTGTCTTGAAAAAATACTTGCAACTCACTGCAATCCGACCCATGCATGTTCAGTTAGTATATCTTACCTATTAGTATTAGTTTAAGCCATGCAGTGGGGGGCTTAGAGTTAGAAGCTGGAGCTAGCAGGGCCATGCCAATGGGAGTGCAGGCCATGCACAGTAGCAGCGAGCAGGCCATTGAAGTCTGTGTTTTGCTGATTTGCAAACTAGTGAACAGGCCTACAGGCTGCCTGTCCATAGTGTGATCATCCATACACTAGACACTGCAATAACACCCAGTCCTTGTGCAGTAGTGTGATCACATCTAAAAAGTACAAACTAATGCCAGCTATTTTTGGATACATGGTATGCTTAACTGCTACATAGCGTTAGCTAGGACGGAGCTGCGGTGCTCGTTATTACTATTATAAAATTCTGTATTTACTAGTACCAGTACTACGGAAATGCATAGTTGTAGTGGTGGCTATCATTTCTGGCAAAAGCCTGCATATCTTATGCAAAGTTCCTGAGCTCCTCATGAAAACAAGGGTATGACGAACTATATTGCAGTCAAGGCTGACTCTACAAGGATCTTGATGGAGAAACCCCCTGCCATCTAAAGTTCTCTAAGTCATTTTGAGCTAACATCTAAAGTTCTCTAAGTCAAAGTATTCAATCTGCAGTATAAGGTGTCAAGTGACTCACATGAGTAGTTGTGGGTGGCTGAGGTGGAGGGAATAGCATCGGTGGCGGTGGCAAAGCTTGACCCATACTTGATGCAAAATTCTGCATGTATTGGAACATTTGGTCCATCCTCAACAGATTTTCTTCCTCTATCCTCTGCATCGTCCGCCGTTGTTCTTCCTCCATGTTCTGCCGCTCGGCTACCACCCTCTGCTGAATCATCTCCTCCATCCTCGCCTCCATCTCCTCCCGTTGATTCATTTCTGCTTCCACCTGGGCCTATAACATTTCATCCCAATATTACAATGCAAAGCTAAAGTACGTAACAATCAACGAACGATGAATAAAATAGAAATGACCTGGAGAGCCTCCATCTGGAATTGTGTAGCGGCTGGCCGTGGGCGTATCACTGGGCTCGAGCTTGTGCTCCTTGCTCGGATCTAGGAGAGAGTAGGAGTAGAGGCCGTGTCGATTGTACGGTCACCAATCCAGTACCGGCCATGCTTGTTGCCTCCTCCCACCCTCATCACGATTTCTCCATCAAGATCCTGGGTGCTCGGATCGAACTGTGGCCCATGAACCTGCCTTGCCATCGCTGTGTACTCACTGACGCGGCTATGGATGCTGGGATCGCTGTATGCCTCGGGCGGGTCCTCCGGGTTGAAGTCGATGTTTGCCGTCGCCTTGCCCTTTTTGGATAGAACCCATGCCTTGAACTGGGAGCAAGGCTGGCCATCATGTGATGACGACTGCGGCAAAAATGCAAAATGATTAGAAATTATGCAGAATTGAGCGTTAGAATAAAGAAATAAATTCGCGTACCCATTTTTCCCTGTATTCATCAAGGCTCAGGCTGCCTTGATGGTGTGATCCATGTGGCATCAGCAAACGCCGATCCCGGCAAGCGTTGTGCGTCTCCACCCACCCGGGCTCCAACCACTTGTCCACCATGTATTCCCAGCGCTGGGTATGCTGGGCGCACCAGTACGGAGGCACCTACGTCATCAAGTGTATGACATATGAAAAAAATGAAAGTATTGAGTATCTCATAAAAAGTAAGTATTAATGTTCTATATTTACCTTCAAGAATTGTTCCCGGGTCAGGTTCATTGTTCTTGTCTCTTCTTTTTTAACCTTCATCCCTCTGTATTGAGCATAGTAGTCGATGATGGCCTGGATGCTCGCCTTGTAGTGCATGTCCTTCACGAGCTTCTTGGCGGCTTCTTCAGAGATGGAGGCCGCCTTGGCCTCGTACCCCTCCTGGCATCTGTAGAAATCCTGCATATAGACACGATGTATATAGTCATTACTTCAAGAATGTCCAGTGAATATGATGTATTGAGCAATGTAGTGTGAGGAATACTTACCCACAGCTTGCCCTTCACCTGCTCCGCCTTGTTGGGGAATACCCTGCCGTCACGATCAGCGGCGTCGAGGGCGGCGACGTAGTGGTCCCATGTGTAGGCCGGCACCATCTCTTCGCCGAACTGCACTAAGCCAGGGAAGTGTAGCCTGCACAAAAGGCCAAGG